GATGTGTTTCCACCTCCTTCCCATGTAGAAAAATTAAGCCAAAACATTGCAGAAACGGTCTTTGCCGATTATGTCACCCGGAGCCCGAGTCTGTGCAGTATGAGGTGGAGCCGCCCATACTCCCGCATACTCAATCGCAAGCACATAAAATAACTAACTAAAAACAAACTTATTGGAAAAACAAACACCTCAACATGTCGGTCTGTAAGTGTAATTGGACTTTTTAGTTTGGCTCGTGTCCTATTCGATTACATGGAGATGGCGGGATTTATGATTTATATTGCAGCCAGCCACCAGTGGGCGATCGAAATTCTTTGGCTTAATTTTCAGGAACTTTATGTGCATTCATGGCATGTCGTAAGTGCCGTAATTACGAGATTCCAACTTGTAAAAGCGTAAAAAGAACAGCTTTGAGTGGAACGTCACATATTGTCATCTCGAAACGCAGCATTTTTTTTTTTTTTACCACATTTGTAAATGCTTTACTTTAACAGTCTGTAATGCTGGTCGATGTTACAAAATGTAATTTGTTATCGTATTATTTTAATTTATTAGCTTATTCATAAACACTTTTGCAAATAGTTTCACCATTTACTGCACTTTGTTACTCGTTATAACCTATATCAGCTAATCAAACAGAAGTCTTAATATAAGTAACTTGTATATATAACTGTGCACTTCACATGATGAATGATAATTCAAACTTATTATGCTCCATTTCGGTTAGGATACTGTCTTGGAGGGTAACTGCCCATATTATTGAGGTTTTGGAACAGGTCTTCATCATTCCTATTAGCCTTCCCATGACACTGTAAATATCCTTCTCTGTCTCTCTTTTAGCTACAAGAAAACATCAGTGGAGGAGTACGAGTCCAGAGCTCAGAGTCATAAGTTCAGTCTGAGTCCATCTCAGATCAGCACCCACGTAGGACTGGAAAACCGTCCCTGCAGCCCTCTTTCATTCGGCCGAAGTTTGGACAGACGCTCAGGCTCCTCCTCCCTGAAATCAAACTCCTCCCACCCATCCACAACACAAGCATACAGCACCTGGGGAAGGAACATTGTGTAAAGCAACTAGCCAAGAGTAGACCTCATCAGATGACAGTTTGCCGGAAATATTTTATCATAGAACGACATATAAATAAAAAAATGTACAATTTTTATATAATTTTACAACTATAGATTTATGATACTGTTGCTGCAATTACTGTTGTTTGGTAGCAGGAATTTAGCATGAAGATGGAAGCTTTCCCCATGCAGATTTCGCAAGAGGTTCAAGTTGGTTGATTCACCGCAATTATGTGAGCTGTCTACCACCAATTTTACCCTTTTTAAGTTGTCTGCTGTCTATTTGAATCAGGATTAGTGATATCAACATTCTCTTTTTATTGCACCGAAGAATGGCAATGTACACGTTTATGATCATGCATGTAAAACCAGTTTAATTTTGTACTAAAAGGGTCATGAAAAATTACTTAAAGCTTGTTTTCTTTAAAATAACCTTACCGGTACTTTTTTTTATACATCTAATGGCAGAATCTAGAAGCCAGTTTCCAATAAATGAATACAGTAAGCACCCTTACATTGGTAAAATTCTGGCAACAATTTCTAACAGCATTTGCTTACTTGATCAGATTATTTAACGTTGCTCTCTGGCGGTTTGGTTGGATTGATGGATCTGGCGGAATGGATAAATGGATTTATCAGTTTGTACAGCACAAGGTTGATTTGGTGCAGGTCCTGATTTTGCCGAGTTAGACGCGTTCTTTGGTCATATTTTGCTGATCCTTGAACAACATTACTGTCTGAAAATGTATTCCTAACCCTACCCACAAGTTATCCCCGAGGGAAATGATAGTTGGACCTAACCCTGGTTGTAAGCCTAAACTTGACGTGAACTTAAAGGGGTCATATAATGGTACATGCACTTTTACAAGTTGATTGTACTGAAATGTGTGTTGGCAGTGCCTGTACACAACCATCATAAAATGATAAAAATCCATCCAGTGTTTTTGTTTTAATCTCCTTATATGTTTTCCCCTGCCTCAAATTAAGCCGTTCGACCGTGTGACGTCACACGGTCGGAAGCCCCTCCCACGATTGTTGATTGACGAGCGTTTCAACACAGACCCCCCCTCGCTCGTGAGCCAGCTGTCAATCATAGTCCGCGCATTGTTGATATGCTGGAGCACTGTCTATGACCAGAATGGCGTCTAAGCGATTGTGGTGTTCTGTTCTTGGGTGTAATAACAAACACAGCAGTCATTTTAATGTTCCTAAATCCGAACCGCTGAAGACGCAGTGGCTGAGTTTGTTTTCGAAGGGAATATTCCCCACGAGCAACGTCAATGCTCTCATGTTTGCGCGAATCATTTCACACACCAGACTGCTTTATAAACGAGGGTCAGTATAAAGCTGGATTTGCTAAGAAGCTGGTCCTGAAAAAAGGATCGGTACCAGATATTCGTGTTCCTGCTGAATCTCCAGAAGAACGGAAGTGAGTGTAACGTTTTATTAAACTTTATATTAATATATTAATCTTTGCAAATCGCTAGCTGCACGCTTCACAATGAATGCGTCTAAGGTTTACACTCAGGGTACATTACGGCATGTTTTCTATGTATGATGTTCTCAATATAATTCATAATCCCACGTTTACTGAACAACGCGTTATGGTTATTGTGTTATTGTGTTACAAATGGTGTACACAGAGAACAGAGAGGCGGGGTGAGCAAAGCTCATTATCATTTAAAGTCATATGCACTGAAACGGCGTGCTGAAAACAGCTGTTTTTGACCAAGTAAAATAAGTGTTTTCTTACAATACTAATGAGAATTTTTAATTAATGTATATTACAAACTTTTAATTTAGACCCTAAAGAATCATATTAGCTTGTACAAAAATGGCATTATATGACCCCTTTAAACTCATAAACTTGTCCCTCAAATCTGATTGGTTGATTGGAATGTTGTTCCTGGATCAACAAAGATGGTTCTGCTGATTTGGCATTTCAAGGCCAACAGGCGTCAGTAATGTTGAACAGTTGACAAAAGGGCAGGGGTAGGTCCCTAGAGAGCTGCTGTCCTGCAGAGTATGACACTTTAATTTTAGAAAAAGTGGATATGTTTATTAAATATACAGTTAGCAGTGTAAAACGAGCCTGTCCATGAGTTTTTAGATACAAAATAAAGTGCATGGTCCCAGCATGGCCTACAGTATATGTGATATTTGTCACTAGTATTGCAGTTACATCATTACAATACAAGACAGTTTGAAGTTCATCCCCATGCTGTTTCGTTCATCCACCAGTAGTACAATCATATGGCTAAATATACAGTTATGCAGCACACAATCACTCAAGATGGTTGTCAAAAATACATACTACTTATAAAAATGAAAAGTTCACATTTTTGGCCCAGTGATATTATATGGGGTTACTATATGCTTGGATGACTAGTTTAAGCCTGCTGCTCAGATTCTCAAATTTAGTCAGATTGCTTGGAGTATTGCTTATGTAAAGTGGTCATCATGAGAAATTAAATGTTCATTTATTTTAAATAAAACGTTAATTGTACCATTAAAACATACTGTAACTTTCTCAACTAATAAATTATAAGGGTAAAAGAGAGGTTGGAAAATAGTTATATGATATATTTTGGTGCAAAACCTTGGGGGACAAAATACAAAAATAAAAATAAATAAAAGAAAATGTAATATTACAAACAAAAAAAATTATATTAAAATATTACTATAAAATATACTATTTAAAAATGAATGGTAAAAATTATGCTAAAAATAATACACCCCCTATAAGAAAAAAAGTAAACATTGCATGTATATATCATCTATTTTTGCATCATAATTTCATTGTAACCTAAACAAAAGCAAAATAATGTTCCTTTACTCACAGTTATAGAACTGAGCTCTACTGCTTTGCAAAGGCTTTAATACACATAAATATGCATTCTTGTAGGTTAATCTATAGATATCATTCATTTTGAGAGGGATATACAGAATAAATGTAGTTTATGACAGACATTTGGGATGGTAAATTCTCATATAATACTGTTCATTTGAAAGTTGGTACTATTATTATAAAGCAATTCACAGCGGCCTGGTATATAAATAATGTTTGTAAATATGCAAACATAAAATCATTATAAGCATTGCAAATACCTCAGTTTGACCCTACCATACAGACTGACATCAGCTTCATGAGGATACAGACTGTATTGCTTTATCAGACCAGAAGGGTCATAAAAGGGCTTTTCACACTGCAATTATCCCCGGGTTATCATTCTAAACCCCGCTTTTAACCCCGGTTAAAGGGATATTTCACACTTGTAATTTAGAAGCGAGATAAGTATCCCGTGGTTACGAACCCCTGCTCCGGAGCAAGCCAGGTTAGCACCGCTTTTGCAGTGTTCATTACGGTGCCAATTGCCATGTGCACAGTTTGAAATGAAGCAGTGATAGAAAGTTACGGCTAGAGGTTTAGTAACAAACAGCCAATTGCGTGCCTCATATTCAAGTGATTTGTAGTCACAGAAACACCGCATGACACGTTGTATAAACTGTAGGCTATGTTTCAGCGTGCGTTCGTCCAATCAATGACACTGACACCACGAATAATAGACCTTATTCAAAGCAGAGCCATGTTTGATTTGTAATGGGAATGAAAGTGAGGCTGTGAGGGACAGACATTCATCTCTTCAGTGGCTTGTACTGTTATTTGGATTGTTCTGCTGACGAAACACTGCAAAAATATCATTCCAAGAACTTTCAGTAGACAAAAAACTGATACTGAGCTGTGGAAAATTATAAGTGACCTTTTTACAGCAGGTGCAATTGAAAACACGGTAAGCCTATCCATCACAGCCTAGCTTTCAGACCGGTCATGGTCATCTGAATAAGGTCTATGTACAGTGTGAAACATCAGCTTATGAATCCCCATAATTATGAATAACCCAGGATTCTGTTACCCCAGGGTTTAAAATGACCAACGATTAACTATTTCAAATGTGAAAAGCCCTAAATAGTCCTGTAAACACCACTAAATAACCATGTTTCCAGTATCACATATCGGCTCAGGTTTTATCAACATGTTCCTCAACTATTTGTTAGCATTTGAGATGTTTCTTGTTGGACATATCGTTCCATATTCTCAGTATCTCCTCTGGTGAAATCTGATGTACAGTCAACACTTTTCGGTAGCGGCATAGACTATAGGTCATTTTCCAGTGATTGAATCCATTGTTCTGGAAGGGCTGAATGCCTAGTTTCCGCAGGCACAGTCCCACGTACACATCCTCAAGATGTAGGAGTCTCGTATGTAGGGAGGTCTTATAGAGCAGCTCCGCCATGTCTCCGGAGAACACGTATCCAGTCCCAGAGCAAAAAGCAGGGTACCTGCTTTCAGGGTAGAGCTCTCTAGACATGAACCACTTGCTGCGAACATCACGTATGGGTCCTCCGTTTATCACGCGACCCGTGAAAAAGCGGTGCCTTGGTTTGGTGTTGGGTTTCAGCAGGTTAAACACTAAGTTGTCCATGTTGACAAATATATCACTGTCGGTTTTCATGACGTACTGTGCATTTGGGCAGAATGAGGACACCCACCGCATCCCCATAAGAGTCTTCAGGGTCAAATTGTGGTAGGAATCCACAAAGTCCTCGACTAGGATGTCATGGAAGATCTGGCTCTCTTGTTCCACCATCTGGTTGAGCACAGGTTCAGTGCTGAACCCGAGAAGAAACAGCGTCACAATGCGAACATCGCCGAATATGTTCTCATCTCCCCACGTCTCCCGGATCGCCTGCCGGGCGTCAAACTCCTTGTGGTTGGTGCTGATGAGGAGGACAAGAAAGGGTGTTGTGCCTTCACATTTTTTGGGCTCATTGATGAGGAACTTGAAATTGTGTGGGTTCAGAGTACGCGTGCGGATATTGCTGAGCGTGTCGTTCTTCGAGAGCCGCGGGAGCGGTTTGCGGGCGAAGGTCATCTGACCCACGTAGGTGGTTGAGGGCCGGGAGCCGCTGAGATACCACAGAGCACTGGCCCAGCAAACCACAGTCAGCAAATACAGGCATGACACCTTGGATGGCATCTCGTCAGTGGCTGGATCAGCTGCCAATCACACGTGTTCAGCCCATAGGCCAATCACGTGTAGTTATTTGGAAAACATCGCTCAAATGAGCACAAGCCCTCCATCTTTTGATGTCAGTGCTGGTTTGGTTTTGCTCTGATGTATTCGTTCTGAAAAAAACCAAACAAACATTACTCAACATTTTCCTCACGTACCAAATGCCACCAATTATCTCTTGTTATTTAAATGGTTATCTATGTTCTTTCATATGCAGTTATTGATAAAGGACAAAGAAAGCGTTCTCATTCTAGATCGGTGGTTCTCAACCAAGTGGCCAGGACCAATTAGGTGCATCAGCAAACTTCCAAGGGATGACTTAAAATCATTCGTAGCACTTTATTTTACAATCATGTTCCCCATGTACATACTATGAACTTAATATAGTAATTACAATAACTAGATACTAACCCTGAACCTACCCCTAAACCTAACCTTAACACATGTAGTTACCTAAGAAAGTACTGCTTAATATAAGGTAAGTACATGTGAGTGCAAGTACTGTAAAATAAAGTGCAACCAATTATTCAGATGAATATATTATTATTAATACAATTTATATTCATAATATTACTAATAAATGAAAACAATCTAACTTTATTAAAATGCTTAAAAATACATAAAATCTAGAAATCATATACCCCCCCCCCCTCCCCCTCCCCCTCATTAAGTATCTCTTTTTGTTTATAAAAACAATTAAGAACAAGACAACTTTGTCAAAATTCCAGTAGAAATATCCCATCTAAAATTGTTAGACAATGAGCAGACTTTAGGTCAAAATGGTTAAGAACCACTGATCTAGATGTTTCTAGAAGCTTCTACACTCTTCCGATCTGCTGAGATTTGAATCCACTTCATTATGACTGACCTTCTAATCACTGTGGGTCATCACTGCATTGCGTCTGCTCCGACATCATGAATAAAGCATATAGGGTGGAGTGGATAGAGATGCTCAGTTCAGGTGCGTCTATAGGTCACAGCAAGCCAAGCTGTCCTCTTTATGGGGTTTGTTGTCTTCCCAGATTTTAGTGTGAAAGTGAATCTAAAATAGAAAAATATAGAAAAAGTAAATGTATCTGAATGTTGTAAAAACCAAAAACTCTCACACACAATAAACATGTGGGAAGCAGAGCAACTGTGCACTGACACGCACACGCACATGCACACAGATTAACAATAAAAAAAGTAAATTGACATTCCTATAATTTTCTGTGTGACTGAATCCATTGTGTGGTTTTTCATCAATTAAATGTTTCTTCTTAATTTGTATTTTAGTACTTTGTGGAAATTCAATGAGTCAAAATGTGGCTTTTCTCATTACCACCTGTGTTTTTATGGTGGTTGCCAGTATATATGTATGTATTATAAAGGTAAAAACATATATATTTTTTTTACTTTCAATTTAAATTCAGTTCTGACAATTAATTGATATATATATATATATATATATATATATATATATATATATATATATATATAAGGCTGTCAAGCGATATTTTTTTAAATCTAATTTATTACATAATGTGCAGATTAATTAATCTAAATCAAATTTGGCTGACAAATTACATCCAAAAGATCATTTAAAGTCATTGTGTTAAATGAGAAAAGCACCAAAAATACATTACAAAAATTAGCTTTAGAAAGAAATATTTTATTTGATTCGACACAGAATTGATTAAACATACACTTTTAGGCTACAATGGCCAATACTTTTTTTTTTTTTCAGAAGCTGCAACTGAATTGGTATATATATATATATATATATATATATATATATACACAGACCAAAACAGTTTGGTAACATTCTTGTTGAGGGTGAGTAAATGTAAATAAACAGAATTTTCATTTTTGGGCAAATTATCCCCAATGCTACTCCAAATAAGAAACTAAAACTGCCTGTATGCAAGTCACTTAACAGTTTTTTTTTTTCATTCAGGAATCAAGTAAACGGCTCTCTTTATAAATGGGCCTTTGAATTTTTAAATGAAAAAAAAAAATATTTTTTTTAAAAAGAATACTTTTTAATGAAATCCCCACAAAAATAACATAAACAGAAGGTGCTGCGGGTGGGACTGTAAACTAAAGGCAGACCTGGTGAAAAGATCTATCTGTCTCTATTACAAAATTGCACTTCAGCAGATATTATGCACGTGAAAACACAAAAGACAACAAACAAACAACAACATCAGCAGCAATTGTCTGGGAAGGATTCCAACAGCAGAGCCAGAGGTGATTTGCGAGCCCGTCCGCTCCCTCTGAACCTCACTTGGGAGAGAAAAGAGACTAAGGTAATGTTTCTATGAACCTCGATTAACCTTGGTTAGATACCAGAGAGACTGGGCCACTGCTATGTTTTCTGTGTCAGTATAAAAGCATCTTCAGCACATAAGACACTTATGCATAATTTGACACACCAATGTTATTTTAGTATCATAGTGTACAGTACTATTATAGTTTTTCTTAATATTCTGAATTAGATTTTATTTTCTGTTTTTATTAAGTTTTAGTGTTTCGTTTTAGTTAACAACATAAACTAAACAAAAATAATAAATGTTGCCTTGGCAAATAGCTGGGAAAAAAAGTGTTTACTTTTTTAATATTTTATTTCAGTTAATGCTTATTTTATTTCAAGTAATGATTTAAAAAAAAAAAATGTTTTTTAGTTCCAGGTAATGATAATTACCCTGTGCCAAACATACTATAGATATTCTGCAATTTGGGCTGAATTGTTTCTTCCACCTTGTGTCAATAAATACAATATTTGAATAATAAAGGGGTACACATTGAATGCAATTTAAGTCACTTTGGATAAAAGAGTCTGCCAAATAATTAAATAGAACTTAAGTGCATATAAAAAGTCTAAACACCCCTGTTATAACAGCAGGTTTTTGTGAAAAAATAAATAAACAAATGCTACAGAAAACTATAGTACAAACGACATTCATGGAGGTACAACAACCAACAAAGAACAGAGGAAACACACAGAGGGTAACAAGCTAACAAGACACACTGGGAACAATCAGGGACTAATCACCGGGAAAAACTACAACAAACTACAAACATGGCACTCAGGACAGGAAGTAAGATAAAAGTCCGGGGACAAAGAATATGACAAAATTAACCACATATGTGTTATGGCCGCTCAAAATTCAGCTTTGCCATCACGGGAATAAATTACATTTTAAAATATAATAAAATACAAAATTATTTATATTTATATTTCAAAATATTAACTTTTTACAGACAAACAGGACTTTCTAATCTAGGCCTACCTGTAAATAGGTGTGTCAAATGTAAGAAGAAATAGTAAAGGATGATGGCAGAATGGAAAGAGATTTGTTGATTGATGGATAGAATGATGGGTTTTGGTCCTAAAAATAAGACAGGGTCTACAAGAGTCTCCACTATACAAACAACATTTTCTTCATCTCGATTCCCCCTTCTTTGCATCAGATCAACATCAGCCTCCCTGTCCTTTTCTTCAAAAAGGTCAGATACATGCCAATGCTGCAAATGCCACAGTATGTAAGCTAAAGAACAACCTCTGAAGTGATACACATTACATACTGATTTAGCAAGTCTGTACTTCCTGTCTTTGTGTGTGTGTGTGTGTGTGTGTGTGTGTGTGTGTGTGTGTGTGTGTCTGTCTGTCTGTCTGTGTGTGTGCACTTGCGGACAAATCATAACATTCCCACAAAGATGGCAATATTCAAAATTGTGGGGACATTTTTTGGTCCCCATGAGGAAAACAGCTTATAAATCATACTAGGTGATGTTTTTGAAAATGTAAAAATGCAGATTTTTTTCTGTAAATGGTAGGTTTAGGGGATATAAATAAAGTTTGTACGTATAGAAATCATTGTCTATGGAAAGTCCCCATAAAACATGAAAACCCAATGTGCATGTTTGTGTGTCTCTCTCTAGCAGCAAATTTGCATATGCATGAAATTGTTTCTGGGTCATTAACTATTTCCTCTAAGTATATCCTTGTGAAAAAAACGTGTGCTAATTGTATTGAATGTGCACTTCGAATGATAAAAGTATATATAAAAAAATGTAATTACAGATTTTATATTATTGATTAAATAAAATGCCACTTAAATATACTTAAAGAGAATAAACTTTCATGACTCAACACACTTAAGTACAGTTTCTTTTTAAAAAAAAAATCACTTTTTAATAATGTCAAATTAAAAGTTTTACTTTAAAGTAGGCTACATTTAAACATTAAATCAGTCTTTTGTGCATGCTTTAAATAATTACACTTGTCTGAAAACATTACATTTAGTTCACAGTTAAGTATTTTCTTTAAATTAATTCCAGAATAAGTACTCATTTTAAAACTTATCTTTCACAATATGCACAGCTGTGTCCAGAAAACTATCCAGATTGTTTCATGGCAGCTAAGACCACAAAATATATATCCTTCTCAATCTATTGGTAATTTCACTCTCCTTCATCTTTAAATGGATAGTTCACCCAACAATTATAATTCTGTCATCATTAACTCTCATGTCATTCTAAACCCATAAAGTGTGACTTTCTGTCTGCCTTTCTGCCCAGTCATTTACTGACTTCACTTCATCAATCATTCCTTAAGCACTCCTTTAAATTCCACTAAGCACCTAACCCGACTGAGACAAGTCAGACACAAGTATTTGTTATATTTAACAAATAATCTTTAAAAACCCTCACTGACCACAAAACAAGGTGTCTGTTACAATCCCCAAAGTAATAGAACCAGGCCTCTAGTTGCCATGGTTTTATGACTTAAAAGAATGCAGAGCTCATTTGAAGTCATTTGAATCAGGCCATAGGAAAGACCCATAGCCCTTAAAACAGTCTTTCCTGCATTAATTTATAGACAAACTGATCTATAAATGAACATGCATCCCAGGACATTGTGTGTATGTGTTATTACTGTCTGGTATGGTGTCTCTTGTATTGCATTTTGTTCTATGCATGCATCATGATAGAATTATTAGATAATGTACCCTATTCCTACAAAGTCGAATAATCACTCGAGACATACAAGCATGCATCCCATTTCCCTATGTGGTCACACATTCTTTTATAGTGCTTTTGGTTCATTTAAAATGGCGGCGAGTGTGGTGTCGTAGCTGCAGCTCCCTGAGTCTCACTCCCACGAGTTTTGTGTTTTGTTATTAATTTGATTAACGTTAGCTGATTTAACTATGGCTGCTAAAGGAACTAGACTAAATTGGAAGGATCAAAATCCAGGATTGGCTGCTACTGATGAAGTTACCAGTGAGCTTAATTTGGCGACTCTTTCTAGCCTCCTGGATGATCACAGGAAATCAATCGCTGTGGATTTTAAAGCCTCTTTTTCTTCGCTCGAAACTAAGATTGACTGTAGGCAAGAGACTTTGTCTGATCATGCTCAGAAAATCTCAGCACTTGAGACCAATGCCAATCTACAAGACGAGCGTATTTCAGTTTTGGAAACTTCCAGTGCCTCATTGTCGGCAAATAACGCTAAACTGCTGGCTAAAGTGGCTGATCTGGAATCACGTAGCCGCCGCAATAATATTAGGCTGCTTGGCCTACCTGAATCCATTGAGGGCGGCCAGCCCACTTCCTTCTTCTCTGGGCTTCTAATGGAAGTGTTCGGCGAGGGTGTTCTGGGTTTGTGGCCGGATTGTGACATGGCTCACCGTGCTCTATTTGATAAACCGAGCCCAGTCAGCGACCTAGGCCAGTTATTATACGTCTTCAATCTAAGGCACCAGCAGAAAGTGACTATCATACGCGAAGCCAGAGCTAGAAGAGGAAGGCTTCAGTACCGTGGGACATCTATCGCGATCTACGAGGAATACACTCCCGAAGTAATGGAACAGCGATCAAAGTATCGTGAAGTTATGTCGGACCTCTATAAACTTGGACTTAAGCCTGCGCTACTGTTTCCTGCAAGACTGTCCATCAATAGCTGCGTTTCCATGGACAC